TGTCGTGTGCTTTGAGTCAGGGAAAAACATCCTTGAGCAGTCTCAGTTGGATGGGGTCTAACAGACATGTGGCTGGTTCAGACAGCCCAAATGTAAGTCAGGTCCTACAGATGCCTTCAAAGTTAGGAAATAACTTTTCAGCATCAACTAGGACAAATTTCTCCAGTGTTTCCTCACATACAAACAAGCACTCTAGTGTGTTAAGATTCATGACTGACACTAAGATAAATTTGATCATATAGTTTCTTTCTTTGTTTCTAAGGTGGAATGCAAAATCTTCATGCCTGGAGTTGGTTAGAGGCTGTTGCTGTCAAACAAGGTGGACCAGTTATTACATCCAAGAGTTCACTTACTTTACCAGCACTGGGAAGGTTCAGTGAGAGTAATGTTCAGTAAAGACAGAAATATTTGAATTGTTTGTATGTGTGTAGCTCAGATCAGATTACATTTTATGACCGATTCATCCAAAAACCAGATCATTCCAGTGGGTGCACCTCCTTCTGACTTGTGTGAACCTATTGTGTGAAATTGCTACTCTGAATTCTTGTGTTGTGTCTTCTGTTGTGAAGATGCTGTGCAAGTTGAGCAGAAACAACTTGTCTTTTATCCTTTATACTTTTTCAGATCCAAAAGAAATCTGCAACTGAAAGAAAGAGTCTGTCAACATGCTGTGTTGTCCGAAGCAAATAAATTGTCTCTGCTGAAGAGACAGCTGGAATACAAAATGAGAAAATGACACAGTGAGTGGAGCCAAGACCGACAGAGAGAAAGATGTGAGCAGAGACACAAATGACATTTCTATCAGTGACTACTGAGATAAATGCACAGAGCTTTTTGCTTCGTGTTTGATATGAAATGACTTTTCTTAACTAAAGAACGTGTGCTTTTCTGTCCATCCTCTTTCAATAGAGGTGATTAAGATGGAAGTGCGATTTGCCACAGGGAGGAGAGCGGGCAGTTTTCTCCTCACTGAGTAAATGTTCGGATGTCTGCACTGACAGAGCAAGGTCACTCTGCAGCAGTTTAATGACATGATGACATTGAAAGTGTCAGTTTGAGTTGTCCATATCTGGAATAATTTCAAAGAAAACAGTATTTGTATTTCAATTTTCACAACATGTCTATGCGTTGATGAGATTAAAGTAGTGCGTTATATTCCAGGTATTCCTCGTGGTCACCACTGACTTTACTGTTGGTAAACTTTGGTCTCAGTCTGTTACTTCTCACGATTACCACATTGGCTCCATCTTCATTTTGTTTTTTACTCTTCCACACTTCAGCCCACATGAAATTATAAAACAAAACACAGCTGCAGTGGTGGAGTATTCATTAAACATGAACAAGAACGACACCTATTCCACCACATTGCAAACAACTTCTACAATCATTCATCCGAAAGAACTTAGCAAAAAAAAAAAAAGAAATAGCAAAGTTTTTAAATGAACATATAATAAGCATTAATTTCATACTGTATACATCAATTGGACTGCCACCTTATCTGGGAAGCACTCTGCCTTCTGCTGCTCCTGTTGACCTGTTGTCCTCCCAGCATGTAGGAGTGATCCAACACACATCGATATCCTTACCTACACCAGACAGACTGAGCATTGGTGATCAAAGCTACGCCTCATGTTACTGCTCCAAAATCAAAGCCTTCCAGCTGCTGTGAAGCAGCAGCAGGAGGCTTTTTGGTTGCATGTACTAAACTGTGTGAACACAGCTCTCGGGAATGTCACCGTGAATGGGTGAGGGAGAAGCACATCGTAAAGTGCTCTGGGACCTTCAGAACCAAAGGTTTAAGAGGGCGCTACGTCGCTGTGAATCATTGACCAATTCTCAATGTGTTGTTATAATCATGTTTTCATTAATAATACAGTTTTTCATAGATTTTCTAAATACAACAGAGACAAATTTGCTCGCAGTGACTCTGCTGTATTGATTAAAGTCAACTCAAATGTCAGTGAGCATCCCTACAGATGCTGACGATTATTATGGGATGTAAAGTTTCAGCTCTTATGACCAGATGAAATGTTGTAATACTTCATTGTCATTATGTTTCAGTGGATAAATTTGATTTGGTGACTTTATGTTACATGGCTGTGTGACTCTGTCCGTGGTGCTGAATGCTCCTCAGCCCTGAAAATGCCATGGTTCCCTGTTTCTTGTAGTTCTGTGTGACGTTCTGGTTAGAGTTGGCCTATGGGCCCCAAAATCTGCACTTGATACAGATGACTGCACACATACCTTCACATCCTATGCGCAAAATAGGGAATAAAAACACAGAAAGTAATACAGTTTTTATAAAAAGCAAAAAAAGAAGAATAAAGAGCAGCAGAACCAAAAAGTTGCAAAATCTACAGCAACATTTCTCAGCAGGTTGGAAGGATTTCAGTTTAACTGAACCTATCTGTAGTATTGAAGAGAGTGCTGATTGGACATACCCTCCTGTGAACATTTTAACCCTTTTTTTCCCCTCTTTGAAAACATCCCCTTTGCAATCCATGCTGCTGCTTTGTGTGGAAGCATGGTAGCTGTTCACACACACACACACACACACACACACACAGTGCCTGAAATGGATTTATTTTTTCTTTTTACTGATTTGACTTTTGTCAGTCAAACACTTAATCATGAAACTCTGAATTTTTTCACTGGAGCTTGAACAGATCAGATTGTTACACTGATCAACTCTTCCTTCTTATCGAGATGAAAACAACACAAAATCCAACTCCTGAAATCTTTTATTTAGTCATACAGATGGATGACAAATTAAAGGAAAAATCCAAACATAGTAAGTGCAGGCTCTTCTGCTCCCTGCACGCACTGAGAATGAAAACGATATGAGTGATATGCCATGGCCTGAACAGTCACCACATCACAGCCCAACTGAACATCTCTGTCAGACAGCACTGTCCACAGACATCACAGAACTAAATGTTTTTCATTTGTGTTGTGCAGGACAACAGCTTCCCCTCCAGTAGAGGGAAACCCACTTGGAGCCTATCCCAGCCGACTTAGGGCGAAGACAGGGGACACCCTGGACAGGTCACCAGTCTATCGCAGGGCTACACTTAGAGACAGACAACCAAGCACACTCACATTCACACCTATGGACTATTAGAATCATCAATTAACTTCAGCATGTTTTTGGACTTGTGGGAGGAAGCCGGAGAACCTGGAGAGAACCCACGCTGCACGGGGAAAACAAATTCCACGCAGAAAGATCCCGGGTGTCCCCACCGGGACGCCAACCAGTGACCTTATTGCTGTGAGGCAACGATGCTAACCACTGCGCCACCTTGCAGCCCCGGAAAAGCTACAGAACATGTTTATGTAAAATTTTGAAACTTAAATAGACAAACATACAGCACTATGTACAAGTGATGAAAAGACAAAGAAAATACAGTTGACTAATGGAATAAAGGGGAAAGTCTGCCTCATTTTAAGTATTTATTTACAGTACAGTCAAAAATGAGATGTTCCCGTTTCAAATCCTGCTGCAGTTTATTCCACTGAGTGAAGCATTTTAAAGCCTTTTTAGAGCAAAACTCATTTTGGACCTAAGTACTGAAGAGATGAAAGATGTCTGTAGAAGGCCTTTATACACTGATGATCCTGAAGTCACCACATGTTATAAAACAGAACCTCTGAAGGCTTGTGTGTATTGATGAAACATGCCTATCATTAGTGCCACTGCATTGCCTGTGTGTTCACTGTCTGTAATTTCATTTCAGTGAGGATTTTTTTGTTTTTGTTTTTGCTATTATTTTTTATTTTTTGCGCTACTGGAACTTAACCTGGAGGTTTTAGTTCCTTTTAAACTCTCCATCAGTTTGGCTCCATTTTTTATTTTTTATTTTAATTTAATATTATTTTTAAACAAGGACAGGGAACGAAAAACTTGTCTATTTTATTATTGTTGTTGTTGTTGCCATTTTCATGACGTGCTGCTGCACACTGTTTGCATGCTACACATGCTGCCATTTTTGCCCAGGTTTTGCCAATGCTCCGAGAGACAGCCACAGAACAAAGTCTGGGGAAATACATCACGAAAGCCTGCGCGCTCCTCCTCTTCATCCGAACCTAAATGGTTTTCACAGAGCAGCATTTGATTCAGATGGGGATTTAATCCGAATTAAGCCACAGGCAGAGGCGCAATATAGATTATCTTGATGCCCATAATTTAAATTTAAAACGGCAGTTCAGGTACGCACGAAAACAACGTATGTGTGTGTGTGTGTGTGTGTGTGTGTGTGTGTGTGTGTGGAGTGTGTTTTCATAAATGAAAGAATAAGAGTGTTTATTATTTGGAAGCCAGGAACAGTCAGGAGACAAGACACTGCGCAGTGGAGAGAGAGAGAGAGAGAGAGAGAGAGAGAGAGAGAGAGAGAGAGAGACGGAGGGGGAGGGGGAGGGTGCCCAGCCGCTCGCGATGCGCTCCCGACGCACAGCAACGCGCGGGCGGGCTTCAGGTCGGTGACAGCAGCCAGAGGAGAGACTCGGACAAACGTGTGATCGTGTCCCCGCAGTCACCGCTGTTGGTCCGTATCAGGAGGAACTTGTCCTCCCCGTCTCCTCTCGGGCTGCAGCAGTTGCAGTTCCCTGTCACACGCACCGGCTCGGTTATGTGATGGATGTTGGAGCGGAGCCCGGGAGAGCCTTCCTTCGCCAGGGAACCGAGGTGATGATGAAGAGCAGGTCTCTGCCGCCGACCGAGAAGTTCGCTTTCTCCTTGCAGACGACGCTCAGGGGGAAATAAAGGAGCCTCGCTGAGGGATTTAAATTACTTCTTGGCAGATTTCTTCCAGTTGTTGCTGTTTGCGCGCTGAGATGTGGCTTTAATGATGCTTCAGCTCAGCTCCGGATTCTACATGTTGCCCGGCTGATGCAGCTGCTGGACTGGGCTCCTTCTCTCCCCATATTTGGAGTTACCTCAACATCACATCCAGGTCAAATGACCGTCTAATGTCCGTTGTGAGTGTGACGAGCCTTTCTGTGACATGGAAAAAACGGGACTCTACAGCCTCCTTTATTACTTTATTCTCAATTCGCCCTTTACGATTTGTGCAAATGGTAAGTGAAGTGGCAGCAAGCAGACAGGGACAGAGATAAACATATTAGAAATAGGCTGACGCTTTCTTTCTTTCTTTTTTTTTTTTAAAGCTGTAGTTTCAGATGAATGCCACCTGTGTGCAGGATTAAAGAGCCCCTGCTCATAATGAACTCAGCATTATACTGTACAGTTTGTTTATCTGCATATATGAACAGCTGAAGAACATTAAAGACACAGAAAGACTGAATGGTGATCACACCACAGCTAAATGTTTTCTATTAAATGAAGCAGATCTTTGGATGTGATAATGAAACCCCCTGTGCATTAGGGAGGTGAGTTTCAAACAGAGGAAGATGGAAGGCCAAAGGACAGAGCAGACTGTATGGTTTTAGGTTTATGGAAGGTGTAGAGCAGTCGTTTTGCACTGCATACCCACTCATTAATTTGCTGTCTTGCCTCTCTCTGTTCCCCTTTTTACACCGAAGCTGCATTTACTGAGGTCCCTAAAGATGTGAGTGTGGGGGAGGGAGATGATGTGGAGATGCCCTGCGCCTTCAAGGCTGTCAGCTCGGCACCCATGTCTTTGGAGATCCAGTGGTGGTACCTGAAGGAGGATGTGCCTATAGAACTGCCTCACGAGCTGCAGATCAGTGCTCCGACCAACAGAGCCAAGGTACCAGCAGCCGTGAGAGAGAACCACCATCATCAGCTGATGACACACACACAGGAAATGATCAGCCTCTTTTAGCTCATTCCATTTCCCAGCAGCTAAAAATCTGATAATATGCATACATGTCTGTTGTACTTCTGCTATGCAGATCTGCCAGCAAACAATATCTGTTCACCCTGCATACATTTACTCTGGCCTGTATTTAGAAATCCACAGCCTGCAAATATCCCTAATGTCTGTGAGCCAGATGCAGACAGCATCTCTTATCTTCAGTAGCTTCACTTTTACCACATTAAAAAAAAAAAAAATCACTAGTGTTTGAAGCTTTGGCTTGCATAAGCTGTAAATCCATACATCATTCAGGTTATCAGCTTATCATAACATCCTCGTGTGTCTGACCTCAGGCGCACAGTTTGTTTGGCTCAGACAGAAGCAAAGGGAGCGTGTACGTTACTCAGGACCAGGGAGATGTCATTTGGACTGCAGAAAGGGCACTTGTTGGTTATTAACATCATTACATTCTTCTCAGGTCCACTGCTTAAAGCCGCAATGATAGGATATTGTGGCAGGACATGGTGGGAATTACTTTACTTTCCCTTCAGCATGACAAATCAGTTTTTTTCAGTCGTCAGAGGAGTCAGGGACAATCACATCTGCGGCATTTCCTCAGTGGTTTAAGCACATTAAAACATGCTGCGGGGGTAAAGAGAGCAAAGAAAAAGGCGAGAGAGCGAGAGAGCGAGCGAGAGAGAGAGATAGAGAGAGAGAGGCTATCAATGGCGTCTTTGAGAAATGTACACAACCAGCTCTGGTCATGCCATTTGCTCCTCTCCATCAAAAGAAAGAAAAATCTTGTGTTGTTACCACAATATGCATGTTTTAGTGACATGTAGCTGATGTTTTCATTTCAGTTCAATTCAGTCTTATTTATAGAGCAACAATTCAGAACACAAGTCATGCCAGAGCCCTTCACATAGTGCGGTCAAGACCTTACAGTGTTAGAGAAACAAAAGCAACAGTCCCCCGTTAGCAGCACTCGGCCACAGTGGGAACTAAAAACTCCTTCACAGGAAAGCTATGACAGAACCAGACTTAGGGAGGCGGCTGCCTGCCTCCACCAGTTGGAGTGAGAGTAGAGCTAAGAGAGAACAGATAAGAGAAACAATAAAAAATGAGCAGGTTGCTGGGGTCATGAACTACAGATGAAAGACATGCAGCAACACATAGCTGCTTTTGTTCACTGATAAAAATATTGATTACGATTCATGGTGCTTTCTCTTCACAGGTTGGTTCGAGAGAAGCCACGAAAATAAGTGTAAGTGTCCACTTTTCTGTTTGACTAAAGGGTATTTGGTAAAGTTTTAGTCCCTGATCATCACACAGAACACTGACATGTGACACATTTGATAAAAATATCCATATTTATTTGACAGAAAATTGCTTTTTATCGTCAGAGAAAGAATGTTTCCAAACACCTAATGTAAATAAGCATATAATTACTTCTAGTACAGAAAAGTTTAATCTGTGTGGTCTGAAAATTAAAGTTTAAGAGGGCTTTCTTTCACATATACATGTACATTTTTGACATTTTATTTTAATCAGCTAATTCAACCTTCTTCTGTCCGACTGTCTTCACACGATTTATCTCATAATGTTTTAAGACCTCTAAGATGGTGTCAGAGTAAAACATTCTGTGGCAACTTAGGTTTGATAATACATTACATTTTAGCTGCTAAAGTGCACCCTCATTAAGGATAATTGAGGCCCTGTAAGAATTAATGTGTCGGTCTGCTGAGCAGCTAATACAGGGTCATGATTTCCTGCTTTTTTGATGCCTCTGCTTCCACCTCCAGTCATAAAACATGAAGCTACCCATAATAAGCTGGTGATTAATGCATACCAAGGCTGGTTGTTATTGAAGCATTGCCATTTGCCACGTTTGAGTGTTTCCTTCTCTCTTTGCCTCGATTCCAGACTGTGCGTGTTCAGGGCAATGCCATCTCTCACCGCCTCAGTCTGTCCAAGGTGAAGAAGGAAGACGAGGGTGTGTACGAGTGCCGTGTTTCTGATCTGTGGGCAGACGAGACTCAGGAATTTACGGTTCACGCCACACTGCGAGTCACACCAGGTGACGGCATGGTGGCAGAAGAGGCTGTGTCACACATTCAGAACCGCTGGCCGCTGAGGAATACCAACACAGCTCTGGGAGGAGGCACAGCAGGAAGGGCCACCTCCGAGCCTGGCCAGGGCCTGACAGGAGGTCAGAGGTCAGGGCATGGGAAGCACCGGGTCCCTCAGCAGGCCCAGCCCGGCCTCCTCCCCTCCATCTCATCCACCACCACCACCTCGGTGGCCAAGTCCTCAGCCTCACCGCTGCCAGGGAATGCAGCCATCCTCCGGCAGCAGAACGGGGCTGGTGAGTGATTGTTGAAGGGGGGAGGTGGGGCGGAGGTGAAGCAGATCCACGGTGACACCTAGTGGTTGTGCAAGGACACCCAGCTGACACACACGC